GGCATACGTTCAATTTTTAAGAGAAGTGCATCCAGTACTGCTGGAGGAAGTTCCTTTGGGCGTCAGAAGGGATATGTTTATTATGCATGATGGGGCTCCCGCCCATTTCAGTCAAGTAACACGTCAGCATTTAACTAAAACATATGCAAATCAGTGGATAGATCGAGGAGGACCACAGAACTGGCCTGCTCGATCCCCGGATCTCGATCCTCTCTATTTCTCTATTTGGGGCCATTTAAAGCATTTGGTTTATCGTACTCTTGTTCGCGTACCCTGCACGCATCGATGCGTGCAGGGGCTGTAACTTAACAAGGGATGCTCCAATGAAGTTTCTTTATATGAAAGATCCTATCTTTTTTTCGATGAGGAATCACTTCCTCAAATGTTTTACACTCATTCAGTTACACCCTGTATAGAAACATTTGGCATTGTGGAATACTTTGTGTAACAGTCACTCGAAAAACATTAATCACAACTGGTCTTCGACCCGCATCTTTTAGCAGAAATGTTTTCAACTTGAAGAATCGTTTCAAGTAAGACTTTAAGATTTTCCCTGAACAGTTCACAAAATCGAAACATAGTTTCACTATGAAAAAGCTCCTCCAGGGGTGTCCATACTAAATAAATTCTACCTACTTAATGCTTCACATAAATTAACAATTTGAATAATATGACTTTCGATCTACTTGATGAATAATAATTTCACCGGAGATGGTTAAGAATAAAAGTGATGAACGTAGGGCAATGGTCATGTATCCACAACCACAACTTTTTGTTCATTTTCAGAAATGTTTTAGTCTTTCTTATATATCTATTACGCCACTGCATGGGCGTAGCCAGGAAAGTTTATAGGGGGGGTAGACAAAAACATTTTAGATTATATTGTTTTGATTGTTTTTTTCAACATATGAATGCGAGCGGCCTTCAATATGGCGCACAACATTGGCTGATCAGTTGCCTTCCCTCTCACCCCGCATCCCGCCACCCGCTCCGCTCCTATGTCTATTTGAGTTCCTCACTACTTTTTTTGAGGTTCTTTTGTGTTTTTACTAAACGTATTACGATTCATTTTTCTATAACAAAAAAACACTACGCTACCCTCGTTATAAATGGCATTTTTTAGAGTAAGAAATGCATTGGATTTCACAAGCCAGCCTTCAAGCCTGTTAGTTTCTTAGGTATTATAAAAAGCGTGGCAAGTTATAAAGCTTGTCAGAATTTTAGTTTACCAGCGAACAACCGCTCTTCTAAGGGGGGCAGCTGCCCCTTCCGGCCCGTACCGCGCTGCGCCCATGCGCAATTGGTTAACTCAGTGGTTCCCAAACAATGGGTCGCGAACCACTGGTGGGTCGCGGGAGCAATTTGGGAGGGTCGCAGAAACAGATTAGAATTGTTTTTCCCATTTTGGATAGACTAGGGGTATCCAGTTCTTTCTAACATAGCCTTAAAAGAGCTGATAGGGTTTGAAACCACATATTTGTGTGAGAGGGCATTCTCCACTTTGGTATATTTAAAAAATAAATATAGAAAAAAGAGGCTTTGTCTCCACAAGTCACATCAGTTACATGAGTCTTATTTTTTCATTTTTTTGTATTTGTTTAGTTTCAAGATTCTGAATTGAAAGTCTTTTTTCGTACTGTATTTCATCTTCAATTATATCATCTTTACCATTTTCTTTTAGAGGTGTGTTCTTCAATAGTGAATTTTCTCGATCACAGTAATAAAAATATTATTAGTAATAATAATTATACTTAATGTGGGACGCGAAAAAAATTCCACAATGAAGGTGGATCCCCAGACAAAAAAGTTTGAGAAACGCAGGGTTAACTTATCTGTAACAATAGAATCGTTACCAGACATACTTAAATACTAACAGAACAGTAGACAAAAACGGTGACTGACGATTTGTGGAGAATTATAGACCCATTTGTACCTTCCAGCCTCTCAAAAATATTTGAATATTCATTTTTGGCCGATTATTTTGCAGAGAAATTGAATTTTCATCCATAATAAACGTGGATTCTTAGACAAAAAATGGACGTTAACAGCTGTACAATCTTTTTAAGGAAAGATTGTTGATTTGATTGATGGAGGTGAGTGTTCTCAAAAGATCTTTCATGATCTCAGCAAGGCATTCAAGGCGTCAACCAAATTATTTCTATGGATACGCTGGAGAGGCATGGAGTGAGGGGAGTTCCTCATCGGTGACTTCGTAGTTCCTCAGTTCGAGAATGTAACTTCCTCAAAGCAAAAGATTCACCATCAAAGTCCCTCGTGGGTCAGTTTTGGGCCCTATTCTCTATATACTGTATTTGAATGATTTGGGCAAACTTCCAGTTCAATCCTCTTTCACCATGTATGCAGATGACACCTTACTTATTATTTCAGATAAATCGGATGAATTGTTGTATGATACACATGTGAGTTTTAGTTTTAGTGAGTGATGGTTTAAAGCAAACGAGAAAACATAATCAATACGATTCCACAATCGCCAAAAACATTGTATGGGCATAAATATTTCCACTCAAAATAAAAACTTTATATAGTTGAGTTTTTAGACCTTCATGTGGATGAGTGTCTCAACTGGAAAAGTCAGATGCTAGAATCGAAGTTGAATCAATATTATATATTTAAGAAACACTTAATCGTGAGAATTTTACTTAACAGTTTTACAAACACGAAACACGTGTTTCGCTATATGATAGCTTCTTCAGGCGTGTTTGCGTAAACAGATAAGTTATAGAATTGATACTATCAGTAAAATTGAGCTCAGTAATATTTAAACGAAATCTATTTAGTTACGTGCATAATAAGCCTTGTTACTATTCAGTGACTAATCTTGTTTAATTAAGTAAGTATAATAATAATCAATACCTATAGTAAAAATGTCGAATATTCCTTAGCATGAACATTTTCATTTAATTCAGAATGGAGATTCTTCGATAAAGTCTAAGTGTAACTTCAGTTATTTTATTTTAGTGATTTGTTTATCGAATAGAAAGTGTCTACTAGTAAATCTAAGGTCCAATAATTTCTCACTCATATTGTTTTTTGCTTAACAATAGCAAATAGAAAAATTGTACGCATTGATCGATTGCAGTCGAATTAGAATATATCTGCAAATTAACTACGAATATAATTGAAAAAAAGTGTAGCAGAAACTCGTATAGACGACTTTAAATTCAGTAGTCACTTTTTTGGGGAACTGGAACAATTGCGTAAATTGACGATCAAAGAATTCGAAAGGATCAGTTTGTGGAAGGACATTTCTATTAACAAGATCTCCACAGTTTGTGAATGTCTATTAATAAGCTCGTTTTAACAGATGGGTTGATTAAAATTCTTCGCATTACTATCAATTTGATTTTGATAATGATTGACCCGCTTTTTAATTCATTTGTAAGGCAGCCAAACAATAATACAGTTTTTCCAGATGAATATGAATGAAGGTTCATGAATGTGTGTTGAAGTAACACTAGCAATGAAGTTGTAAATTTTTTATGAACATATTTTTCATAAAAGTTTCTGATGATACCATAGTACATCACATTCCTCAAAAAAAAATCATAAGATGGCTAATGTCTGTCATTATAGTATAGATTTTGAAGAATTATAGATTTGGCACTGTCACTACCAAGTAAACTTACGACAGGTATGTGGCAACTCTATACCAAGGCATATTGAAGTACCATCAGGGGGGATTCAGGGATCTCATATGGGCCCTCTGCTATTTACTTTATATACCAATGATTTAACAACTGTTTTTGCCCCTTGTTCATTAACCATGTTAGCAGGTGATCTAAAGATGTTCAAGACAGTTCATAATATATCAGATGCTGAGGAGCTGCAGTATGATCTAGATAATTTTTCTAAATGGTATACTCAAATCCAGAGAAATGTCAGAAACTAATTTTTTCGAGGATAAGTAATTTAACTGATTTTCCATATACAATCAATGGGAATGATACGGTCACTGATACAATCAAAGATCTAGGAGTTATTTTCGACTCGAAAAATATCCTTTGAGTACTATATAATTGAGACTTCATTTCAAGACCGTGAAATGTTAGGTTACACAATCCATTCTACTAGAGGTAAGTGTTATATCTATGAAAATCGTTAACTGTGCACAAGTTAAATCCATTCTTGAGTACATTTTCATTAAATGATGACCTTATTATAATATCAATGTTGATTTGTTAGAGTGATGTCAAAGTAAGTTATTAAAATAATGTGCTTATCAGCTGAGGTTCAATAGATAACCGTACAAATACTGAACATTTGATTATGAATAATCTGTCTCATAGAAGACTTGAAAATGATCTCATATCCGTGCATGATATTGTTAATGGCTATATTGGTTGTCTGAAAATAGTCAAGCTTTGTTCTCTTTCCTGTATATCCTAGAAGGAACAAATATCTGAAAATAGTCAAGCTTTGTTCTCTTTCCTGTATATCCTAGAAATATAGTGTGATTTTCAAAATTTCTTCTTGTAGGATCAATTATGCTAAAAAAAAAACAGTTTATAGAGTTTTGAAGTCAGCAAATCATCATCATTCTGGCCTGGAAGCGTTTGATCCTTTTTTGACATCTTTCAAAGGTCTGTTCAAAATTGATGATGCATTAACTAATTCTGTAAGCATATATACATGTGTAAATTGGCCTGCCCGTTGAAATTAATGAAATTTGAATACAAACTCGTATTTTTTAATCTTAAGACCGAAGGAGTAAAATGTTTATGTAGTAGCATCAACAATTTACTGAAATTCATTTCTGAACAATTCGACAATATTTCTTTAGCAGAGCTCCATCAGTATCTATGTTGGAGATGCTGATCAACTCTGATGGCGCATATTGTCATAACTGAAACAAGAGCTAAGTATAGTCGTATCGGCAGTTCAGCAACGAGTTGTTGCTACATCGAAGTCCAGTTTCGAGTGCTATCGGTCCAAGAACGGATCCTTGCGACACACCAGAACAAATGATCATGTGTACTTACCCGTGACCGTTCGGAAACCTGGTGGTGCCAGGGGAGGTAGAGTACGGGGAGGGCGTTGCGATCTGCGGCAAAGCAGCAGCGGACGGAATGGCAGCAGGTTCGTAGTACTCCGTGTTGAGAGTCCTATCGTCTATCTTGAGTTCGGAGTTGTGGGCCTTGGACGCACTTTTGATGTCCATGAACGCCACCGTGCACGCCATCGTGATCTCGCCCGTCTTCTCCTCGGTGCACCTCGGCAGCAATTTGACACTTTGCACGCGGCCATACCTGGAACAATAACGACGGTCGTTGAAAAACATGCAAATTGATGAGACGATGAAATAGCAACTCTGAATCATGGTGGAATGTGCAATATTCACGGACTATGATTCCACAGACCAAACTCAACGTCAAAACACATGTTAAATAAAATATATAGATGGACAGCTCATCGGAAAACTTCACCAATTTCTTTAGATGTCGAAATCGTCGTTTCGCTATTTAATTTGGTGACGGAGATAAATTGACCATAAATAGAAATATATTTTCAGACGATTTCTATCACAAATTCGAAGCACCAATAAAAAACAAACAAATTGGAAATTAAAGATCCCACCAACAAAATAGTTCAACGATCATGGCATTCTGAGTGAAGAACAAAGAGAAATTCATCTAAACAGCCATGGTGATCCGAAGCCTGTGAAAAGTTCTGATATAGTAGATATTCGAAAAGGTCCACATTTATTTCCTCCATTATTACTAGATATAATGGAGAAAGAGTCAAGAGTGTCTACAGTAGCATTAGTAACAACCGAAGGTCGTAACAAGTTTCCTAAAATTCAAATATGAGAACTCCCACATTTGCGTTCAGCTTGTTGGAGAGCATAGGTCCTAAATGGAGGTAAACTCTTGAGTTCGTTCAGACTGATCAGCAGATGTTAGAATTCCTCTCCCTCTAGTCCCAGTAGTAAGGTATGGACAATTTTTTGATAGGAGGAGAACTGTAAGTATTGTAACGATTCTGAAGCCGCCCCTGACCAGTACGCCGGCCGAATCATGGAACAAACACATGATATCACCGCGAAAGAATGCAGTCGGAAATCGCCGGTAAAATTCTAGGACAGAACCGACTACAGATTTTTAGAAAGGATCGTTACCGATACAAGCACGTCTTCCCGATCCAAGAGGGCAGTTCATAAAATGGAGCGGCTAAACAAGAAATTCAAATAGTGGAAATAAATTAGGCGTTTGTTGCTGAGTGTTGTAAAATAAATCAACTTGTGATTAGTGAAATATTGTTGGAAATAAATTTTGTTTAAGACAGTTAATTCTTTAATTTGTCACAGTATTTTCAAGTAGGATATTCAGTAGTTTCGCAGAGAATGTCTACAGGTCTGCCGCCAATTTCTACCTCAAATGCTGTTTCATTCATGAAAATTGAATGTATGCCAATGTTGTGCATTGATAATTTTATCAGAGTTGTCATATGCTGATATTTAGGGATAAACAAAATTTTTATCTGTTCAGGTCATCACTGTGTTTCAAATAATACCCGCGATATTTGAGAGGTTTACTGAATTTTGTGCATCAGATTTTGTGTGAACTTTCATAAAAGTACGCAAGTTTGAGAAGCTGTACATCAACATAATATTCAAAAATTCATTAGGTTGAAAAATAATGGAAATTCATTTACAGACGAATTTCAGGGCAATACACTTATATATTTTTATAAAATGCCATGGAAAGATATACAACTAGATGTAATGACAATACGCCAGAATATTTTTCAAAATATTCACATTTTTAAGCCGCCTTTCAATTAGTTCCGTCTCCTAATTTCAATAAATTTGTTCTCCTTAAATACATGAAAAACTTGATCGAGAAGAAAAGCAATTTTACGCCATAAGTTTACGCATTTTGTCGGTTTCCTAAAAACTACAAGTTATATTCTTTATTTGTTCTGTACCAATCTCCTTGGTCAACCTGAGCATATCTCAAACCACAGAAAAAATGCCGGATGGTTGGTTGACTCTACTTCCTATACAACTATACTTTAATATGATAACTGAGATGCGGTGAGATGTGGAAATCCCAGAAGCTGGTAGATAAACGTGAATTAAGTATTCACAAGTTATAATCTTTATTCATTTTTTGAATATTTCGAATACTGATATCGTTTCTTTTATGGTTTTGGTGAAGATTTTTAACAAATTTATTATAAATTGACAGCTACTATTCCAAGAATTTTAGTACTGCCGTTTTCGTCATTTATATACCGTCAATAACGATATTTCACAAGAATTGAAGCACTAATTTGTACTTTACTGAATTACAAAGAAAATTAACATAACTGAGGAATAAATTTCTCAATTGGTCGATACATTTTTTGTTTGCTACCAGAAATAGAATTAATTAGGTCTCTTTGAATCCATATGACCTCATCAAATTTGTATCTGATATGATGCTTTTTATTTACCTTGATCAACTCGTATATATAATTCGGGTTTGAGCATGTTATTGGTGAACTAAATGCTTCTTTCGTGCAGCCACTTCACAATTTCAACCTTCCTAAAATTTGTGTTTGTGGGCGGGAATAATTTGAATATTACTGTATCACCACTATCGAATTCACAGATAAATTTGGGATTAACTTTTCTTGTAACCATTCACCATAACTTTCAGAATTCATTTCTGAATGATAATCCCCTGATGTTGTGCCTGATTTAAATATAAACCGACAATTAGGTATAAAGCTCATGTCACCTCCTTCATGGACAATAATGAGTCTTGGTCCCTTCGCAATATTTTTGAATAACCCTTTGGTTGATTCCTCCGTCCAGTTCTTGGAAGATATATGTCCACTATGAAGGTATATTTTATCAGGAAACACAATTAGTTGCTGTTGGCTACGAAAGTAATTGAGTTTTTGTAAATACTTTATTCTCAATGCTCTAATGTCCATTTTCTCCATTAACATTTTTCTATTATTTTCAGTCCTCCATTTGAAACCTATTTTTCTTAAAATTCTACGAAGAGATATTTCGGAAGCCACAATTCCCAAAACGTCATTAATTTTGTGTTGGAACTTTTTTACCGTAATACATACGCACGAATGTTTTCTTATTTTTCATCAACAGGAATATCAAATTTATTATCTAATGATGGTGGAATTTATATTGAAACATGTTTTATTGATATTTATAATTTAAGATCTTTAGAGTAATATATTGGAATAACTAGCTAAGATTCTTGAGTTTACTAATATATTGAAGTCACATTAAAAATTTTTTCATGTATATTTCGATTACATGTTTTTCATAAATATTTCAGTACCCAGCAACCATCACAGGGGTCACTAAATATTATTGATGTTTCACATCTGCCAGGCGTCCCGTGACGGCTCTCATTTTTTTTCTAAACGGACTCATAAATAACCTTTGTAAATATCAGAATATTAATAAACACCCCGTATAATAGAGTGTGTCTAATGATTTCTGAAAATCCATAGAGATTTTCCATCTTAAATTGGTATATTAAATAAGTGTGTCGCGACTTATAGTTGATTAACTGACGAATTGAAAATCGTAGATTTCTCATAAAGAAAAATTTTTATCTAATCGGTAAACACGTTGCAGAATACTTGAGTTCAATTTCCAGAATTACTAAAGTGGGAATGCATCTCCTCAGAAGACACTGTACACCCACAATAACCATACTGGAATGCCTGCAAGCCGCAGTTTGTAATGCAAACAGATGTCCTTTTAATGTTCGTCAATTCGCTTGACATTTCGAAAGATCCGTCATTCATATTTCCCGATAAATACCCCCTGAGCTTTCAAGTCGAATCGATAAATACATGTGCTATTTTGAGTTGCCAAGAACGCAGAGATCAACAAAATTCATTAGAGCGAGATAGAAAGATGACGTGGATGAATTTCATTACAAATAACTCATGTCTGCCCGGACAGCGCTTGGAATGCAGAATTGAACTTGGAAACCGCGTCGGGGAATGGGGAGAGCATGCGCACAACCTTCCACTATATAAGCGAACCGAAGCTGATTCCGCAGCCATTTTAGCTCGAGCACTCGTTCTTGGATAACACATAGCGCCTACTCTGGACATTACTTCTTTTTCAGGAATAAGTGAAGTGCTACTTTTGTGTTATCAGTATGCTGGGAATGCTCGGAAACTGTATCAAATGAAAAGGATAATTGCGGTATCTCCACCGGCCAGCCTTTGCGGCTGGTGCGTCACATTAGGGTGTGGCTGTCGCCACCTGCCACGTAGTAGCACCATACAGTGTGATTCTCTTGTATCGATGAAAACAAATCTGTTGATATAGCTCCTCTGGAGTACCCGTTCTGTGTTACTATACGAAATGTGAGTGTACGTAAACGTTGGATTATTTCACAATAATTGGATACCTAAAGACTCTACGAGTAAGTTGGTAAAAAATAAAAAAAAAACCCACCCCACTACTAACCACCACTTTTGATCCCTGTAACTTTGTGAAAAATAAACGAACGGAAGATTTTTCGGCTGAATTGATTTTTACTCGCTGAAAATGCGGTGACAATCCAGTATCTCGCTTCCCCTCTCTCTGCTCCACCCGCAGCCTTCGCTTCGCTGAGTAAGCAGCGGCGGTGTTGCCGGTTCTACGCGCTATCATTGTATCGCTCGTCGACCAGATTAGTTTTGAACGTGCGAAGGCGAACTTGGGAACAAAACATAAGCGGTCGACTGTTCGTATTATAGGACAGTTGGACTGAAAAGTTGTTTTTCTCGTTCGGGATCCGTTTATTTCTTTTATGGTCTCGATTTTAGCTCTCGGTTTTGGCCCTGGACTTTTAACGATATAGAATGTTGTTTTATTTATGGAAAATTGAATATATGCCAGAAATTGGTGGTGCCGAGTATTTTTTTCCTCTAGCGGTTTTTGGCAATAAATAATGCTTTACAAAAAGTTTATAAAACTTGAAATTTTTTTATACTCCTACTAACATCGTATTCAAGTTCAAATAGACGCATTACAATGTGTTGATTTGAAAACTTTGCACTCGTAATAATTTCCTTCTGTATAATAATGAATTCATTTATTGTGTGATAAACTCTATTACGAAAAGTGAATATTCACAATTCCAATTCATGGTCTCAACTATTAATTATTATCTATCTAATTGTTATTGAAAAACAATTAATTCAAACCAGTTAAACTATCAAACTGTTCAATAGATTTTAGTAACTGAATTTGTCAATATCCTTTATGGGAGAGTGCAATAATTTGTGTGAAATTGG